CACTCTGCAAAGGAGGTGTTCCGGCTCGTAGACCAGGTTTCCAAGATCGATGCCGTGCAACCGACACAGGCTTTGGAGAGCATTGGGGATGGGTCGATTCAGTTCCAGGACGTCCACTTTTGGTATCCTCACCGCCCGGAGGCAAGATGCTCGAGTCCAGATTCTTTCCTTTTAGTCGACTAACATCTATTGACCACAGAATATCAGAACATATCAGAACACTCAGATTTAACAGAACAGACTCTGCGGCCTGCTCGCTAGAATCGGGGGCTCGGCGGTGTGTAATCAGACCCCTTAGAAGATTTATCAGTTTCCGGGACTGGCCTCCCTCACCATGTTCTTCGCAAGTGTGCGTTTTGTTGTCTTTGTAAGATTTTGGAATTCTCCGTCGCTGTCTGCGCGGCCAAGCAAAACATTGCGCCGGAATGAGGTCACATGCGCTTCAGTGCAAGAAGCAGGGAGCCAGGGTGTGCACCCTGCTCAAGGAATCCCCACACACACACCTCCAAATGGTGTACTTAGCATGCAATGTCAATGTAACGTGACTTATGTTCCCTTGATGACACCAAGTTTACAGGCAAGTTAGGCAAACAAATGAATGACGAAAGTGTGCAAAAGCCCAAACGTGAAAAGGTCCGTGTGTTGAAGAAGCTCAACTTTACTATCCATGCGGGTCAATCGGTGGCCTTTGTCGGCTTCTCGGGCAGCGGCAAGTCCACGGTGATCCAGCTCCTCCAGCGCTTCTATGACCCTCAGTGCGGCTCGATCCGTGTCGGTGGCATAGAGTTGAGAGATCTAAATGTAGCATGGTGGAGGAGGCAACTGGGCGTCGTTGGCCAGGAGCCTGTTCTCTTTGACGTGTCCCTCGAAGAGAATGTGAGGTATGGATGTCCCGAGGCAACCGACGCTCAGGTTCGAGAAGCAGCCAGGGCTGCCAACATGGACTATGTCTTCTCAGACGGTAGCAATGCTCTCTCAGGTGTAAATTCCGGCGCAGTGAAGTGGACAGATCGAGTTGGCCTTCGTGGAGAGAAGCTTTCCGGTGGACAGAAGCAGAGATGTGACACGCACGCAGTTATGTCCGGCCATGTCCAGGCCCAGGCGTTCGCCTTTGTAGATGCCCATTGCAGAAACCAAGGTGCCATCGCCCGGGCGTTGCTCCGCGAGCCACAGATCATGCTCCTAGATGAAGCAATGTCCGCACTTGACTCGGTGTCGGAGAGCCTTGTGCAGCAGGCTATGCAGAAATCGAGGGTGGGTAAGACCACCATCACCGTTGCGCATCGACTTTCCACAATCCTAAACTCAGACACGATTTATGTGCTCTCAAATGGCCGACTGGTCGAATCAGGAACCTATGACGAGCTCATAAGTCTGCGTGGAAACTTTTCCATGCTTGCTCGAAGCTTGTGATGCGCAGCCATTCGTTCGCAGGGATATTTGACCTGGGCATAGCATGCATGGCTTTGCAGAGCTTGGTGTATCGGTTGGCCCTTGCCGAATTTTCAAGAGTTCTGTGGAATTCAGCTCCGTCGAGTATGCATGTCTCCTCTCGAGGGTCGTGTCGCATCGGAGTGGCCCTGGCTGTGTTAGTCTGTCCTGGCTGCCAGTCCAACAAGGACCCTTCGGAACTGGCACAGGCTCTACGAGCACGTGGACCACCCACTGCCCGCATAAACGGGCTGGGAGAAAGACACGCCCGTTTCGCCTCATCTCTTGAATGTAGTTCAGGGAAACTTGAATGCTCCCGCATGTATGCAATAGTAAACAACGATATGCAGCGACATGGCGATTAGTCTTGTTGGCACCTCGCTTCTCCGTTTTTGCAGACTTTTCTCTTTCGCCCACCATCCGGCAGAAGCACGGACATCAAGCTGCCGCAGCTTTTTTGAAGACACAAGGCCGAGAGCAATTGACACTGTTTAACATTTTTGTCAAGTTCTACAAACGTCGACAGATCTCTCCAGTCTCCCGTACCTAGCCCGCCAGGATCTCGGTAGACTTGTCGTCACAGCCATCGGCAGTGCCGGAGAGTATAGTTCCGGCAGGTCAAGCGGGCGTTGCAGCCCTTTGTTCCATATCTGTTCCCCTGGACATGTCGCCGGAGGAGGGTTTGTAAAGATGTTGTGGCGAACGGTATTCTGGGACACGCGCTCTCTAGAAGGCAGCCTGAGGTCAGGTCACCGTTTTAAACAGTTTTCGAGGCCATGTGCTAGTCTGGTCGGGGTTTGGTTTGATAGTCAGCACGGCTTGCGCCACGCGAGCCGAGCAGTTGCATTCATCATCATTCATCGGATCAGCCATCTAACACGACGTAAACAACATGTCAAGCACATGTCCCGGTGTTCCTCACAAGGACTCTCCCGTAGGTGCATGTTACTGCGTTTCAAGAGAGCCGACGAGCTTCATCGATTCAAGACTTGCATGGATCGCTTGTTAGCACGAGGCTTGGTCACAAAAAAAAGCTGCCAGAAATGAGAAGGGTTGTAGTAGCATCAGACTGTTGGTGACCATGCACGGCAACTGTCATCAGCTCGAATTTGGAACTTCAAGCTTCTAGCTGCAGATGTTGAGACTGCAGGCAGAATCTCAGGTGTCTAACAAGCTGTGATGCAGACTAGAACTGCACTCAAGCAGCGCGCTTGAGCAGCTTTTTCAGCTTGCGCCAACAACTGGTCGAGCAAAGAGCCGTCCTGCTCCCCTGTTCTCTTGTTGCCTGGCGCTTGAAGCAAGCAGATTGGAGTAGTGCTTCTGCAAAGCTGAAATCCTTTTTCGTTCTGCTCTGCCTTTGCGGGCTGACCGGTGGGTTTTCAACCAAGCAGCAATGCCCAATTAGCCAGAACCCTGCTTAGGCTACGAGGCAGCCCACTCTTCAGACTGGTATCCCCTGTAGAAGAACCGAAAGCTGGCACCATGAGCCTCAATGAGCGAGCCCGTTTCACCCAAGTAATGGGTCCAGAATGATATTGAAGCTGTAGAAGGAGTTCAATGTGTCCGAGCCGAGACAGCCATGGCACTTGTTCTTGCCCTTTCTACCTTGAGCCTTGCTGCGGGCATGAAACTCGACCAAAAGGTGTGCAAGATTTGAGGTTCGGCATGGTTTGACATCCTTGAGGCTTTCGAGGGCGTTGGCTGACTGTTTGCTGTGAGCTCTGGGCGTGACTCAAGCAACAAACAGGACGGTTGGGGCAGCTTGGGTGTCCATCGCCGGGATGCTGGAGATTCGCATTAGAGCCAGTCTCTGCGTGCCATGCATCCACAGCGTTTGCGCCTTCTCGAGCTTCGCAAGACCCCTGCCTGCACACCCCTAGGCTCCTAGCCTAGACGAAATGTTCTGCGCAGGCAATGCAATGCAGGTAGTCTGAGAATCCGAAAGCCGCCCGTCTAAGAGGAGCTCCAGGAAAAGTCAGAGATTCACACGCCCATTCTCGACAGACTCATCGACGAAGGATTCTTGCAGCCTCAAGGCTTCAGGGTCTACGAAAATCGAGACTTCGTTCCTCTTTTGATCCAGGTTTCAGCGCAGCCACTGCCATCTGTCGCACACATGTCTCCGTCTGCTTTCATCTATGCGTGCATGAATGTGTTCGTGTGTGTATGCGTACGTGCCACTAAACATATCCCACTTGTCTTCGGTCCATGCACTACTACCACACCGAAACCATGCAAGGAGCTCGGCAAAGCGAAGCTTCTGCAAATGGTTCAGGATCGTTGTGGTTGGTCACCTGACTTACGCACACTGTTGCAGGGTCGATACTATGGGCTGTCATTCAAGCTGCAGGGAACTTCAAGAAAATGTGCACCTCGTTTGAGGCCTAACAGATGCTTGACGAGGGGACTAAGGAAGGCCCTCAACCCTGAACACCAAACCGCCATAAACCGCATGAGGAATGCTTCCGACAGAACATGTAGCATGATTTTTTGCTATCTGAGGGTGAGCCAAAACATAGGCCTGCGCCTGGGTTTGTGGCATGTCGTATATGTCGTTTATCGGAAGGCACCAACGTCAGACTAATGAATGATCTTTGCCACCTCATCATTTTCAGACAATATTTTCATCGAGAGGTGTCCGCTTCAAACACTTCCATACTTCTACGGCTTTTTGTACTCTGACGATGCGTGCACCCGCACAGGCCAGCTGCGTTGCCTAAAGAGGTGTTTCGTAAGTACTTGGTTTTGGTCTGGGCTTGCGAAGCTTTGTGGTTTGGGTTAGGTGGTTTTCTCTGTCTTGTCGCACCGCTTTGGGTCGATGTCTTTGGACTCGAAGCAGCCTGTAGTGGCAGTCGTTCTGCTGGCCCTTCTCCGATTGTCGTCGAGTTTCATCGCGGCCTGGAGGGGTACCTAAGGGGGGGTCTATGCTTCGCACAACGCTGAGACCAAAAAACATCTTAGGACTTCTGGCCCTGAATCTCAATGCCTTCGGCTCTTGGCAGGCTGCTTGGTTCTTCGTTGCACAGCCCGAAATCCCCCATGCTACGATCGGATGGAACAGGCTGCACACGTCGACAATCATATCACACAGAAGATTTGCTGGGCCGTTTGGGGCGTGAGATCAGCAAGTTTCGTTTATGCCCTAGGAAAGTGGAGCTCGGAAAGATGTCGCACGTTTCCCGTCTCGGGCAGCAAATCATATCGGACCCCGCCCGTTTTGTTCTCGGGGAGAGAAGTGTCGACTCCACTATTGTAGAAGGAGCCTCTCCGGTTGTGTTCCCTTGTAATTAATGCGTGAGCAATTTTTGCATGACAGTCTCGTATTGCAGAGTTGTCAGCATCGTTCATTTGGCTGTGAGAAGGCTGCAGTGGGCCCTCAGGAGTCACAGGCTGTCACCGCAGGCAATAACCCAAGCGCATCTTGTAAGTTTCGATCGTGGGTTGCCTTTACAATCAGCTAGAGTTGGCATGGTAGAGGTGACTGCTTACGTTGTGGACGCCATTGTCTACTCTCCATGTCGCATCTGTTTTGCCTGCCTTTGCTAGTCTTTGTACTAGCCTTGCAAAGCATGGCCTGTCCAAGCTTTTGGCTCAATCTGCAGGTTGGACCCAAGGAGAGCAGCTGGGATCAGTTCCGCATGAGCGGCATCTCCTTTGATTCTGCAGCGGGCCTTGGCGGGCAGCTCCGTTTCTTGAAGGAGACGCCTACGAAGTCGACGAAGGGTTCAGCAAGGCCTTTGGCAGGTCGGGGTGTGCACAGGCCTTGCTCGATCGATCTCGGTGATGATTGTCGAGGGCTGATGAAGGGGCGGACGAATGCCTCTCTTGTATTTGAGAAGCAAGCTTGTTCATGTACCTAGAAGCCTACCCGTCCCTTGCAACTGCCATACCTTTCCATGAATACTTCATCCATGGATTCTGCATGGAACAGAAAAAAGTCAAACTTTTTCCGGTTGATCGACCTCCCGGAAGGACTTGACGAGTGGCAGCTGGCCGCAAAAGTCCAGGAGCTCGTGCAGAAGCTCTTCCGCGTTGGAGCTGGTATGGTGGGTCCAAGACATCCTTGGAGATGTTCGGGGATGATTGGTTCAAGCTTGCATTTCTAGGCAAACGTTGATCGAGCTGGAATCATCTGAATCCGAACTTGCATGATGTGTTCTCGCAACTTCATATCGTTGCGATCTTGTCTTTGGAAGCGAGTCAGGTTGAAGCTAAAGGTTCAAGAGCTCCGGCGAGGTAACGTCAGGTGTCAGCTGCATGCCCTTCATGATTGTGCGGCCGTTCAGTTAAACTCCTTGTCTGCGTGGTTAGGAACCGGACTATCGAGCCTGGTACCGTGACTGGATGTGATTCCCTCGTGGCAGACATGAAATCTCCCGGCTGCTTACTTCGTCGCTGTCCGAGAAGCGAAGAGAGGAGACTGGCGTGTTTGTAGCCAGTTTTTTTTCACACGAGCCATGTGCCTCACACCACGTCTCAAAACCATGGGTAGCGGTTGCTGAGTAACCGGGTGCGCCTTCGTAGACACCAAGCAGACTTGGGACAGTCAACTGCAGGCTCTTACTTTAGGTTTCGTAGAACCAAGCGTGGTGAGATGTGACCTGCGCACGAGTAGATGGCACGCATGTATGTGCTGAGTCTTGCCACGTTCGCCAACTCGTTCATGATGCCTCTAATTTGCCCAAGGACTTTGATCAGCTGCCCAACAGCCGCAGACCTCACAGAGCTGATATCGAAGGCGCTCGGTTTAGGTGTATGGTTTAGGGTTTCGGGGTTTTGGAGTTTAGGAGTTTAGGGGTTTAGGGGTGTAGGTAGGGGTTTAAGGGTTTAGGGTGTAGGGTTGAGGGCCTGGTCCATGCATCTTGGAGTGGTGGAGCTTATCCTAAACCGACATAGAAGAATCGGTCGCTCTTTCGTGTGCGTGTGTGGGCTTGAGGGTTTTGAAGCGGGGTGTTGAGGTTAGGGTTAAGGGGTATCGCGCAGTATGAGGTGGAACATCTTGATTCTGCATTGCAGATAGACCGCTACGTTTTCAATCCTCTACTGCAAGCGATTTCCAGTGCTGAAAGCCGAAAGTGTAAGATAAGACCTACACCTTATAAGCCCGAAACCCGAAACCACCTCAACCCTGCAGACCTGGACTCAGACCGGTAACTCTCGCCCCAGACCTGTAAAATCAGAACCTCAAACCCAGCACGCAGCATCCTAGCCGCTATACGATAGTCATCAACCCTGAACCCCACAAAGCCATAATCGTCGTTCAAAATGTAGGTTCCTACTGAGTCTTGTCTTGAATGCAACCTCTGGGAATCCGCTCTTTACGCACCTGCACTGGAAGTGTAAGCTCAGGCCGGATCTCAGAAAATCGTTTCGCAAGCCGACGCTGAAGGCACATGGGAAGCAAGGTTTGAGGTCTGACCCGGGGGCTCTATAGTAGTTCCTTTTTGGGATTACCTTAATATAGGATCCCGAATATAAACCTAAAACGGAACTACTATGTAGGGTTTGAGAGTTTTTTGGGAGGCTTGGGGTTGGAAGTTTTCGGGGTTCAGGGGCGAGATAAAGCCCTAATGTAGGGAACCCGATTAAGAAACCCTGGCCTTGCAACCCCAATCTCTTCGTGGTCATATTCTAGGTTTCCCAGTAGGGCCCTTTTGCCTTTTTTTCTTTTTGGGGTTCCCTTACTAAAACCAAATAGGTAGGAACAAGGGCACCCTTCTTTCTAAGCGGCTACTGGGAAACCAAGTATTTAGGAGCCCGAACTAAAGTCCCAGGCTTGCTTAATCAGGTTCCTACATTATACCATCTGTGGGCCCAGAAGCATCGATGCATGCAAGCCTCTGATTCATGAAGCCCCCTGCCTTAACGGCCTTAAATGTTGGGAACCGAGTCATAATCAAACCTAGCGAAGTGTTTTTTTTGAGCCAGGGGTCTATTATTTTAAGGACCCCGAGGCCCCCTTTAAGAGAACTTTGGGGATTTAGGGGTTAGGGTTAGGGGTACTAGGGATTAGGGTTTAGGGTATTGGGGTTTAGGGTAGTAGGTTTTAGGGGTATTAGGGTTTAGGGTTTTGGGGTATTAGGGTTTAGGGCATTAGGTTTTAGGGTATTAGGGTTTTAGGATATTAGGGTTTAGGGCCTTAGGGTATTAGTATAGGGTATTAGGGTTTAGCGTATTAGGGTTTAGGGTGTAGGCTCTGGAGGCCCTACTATGAGAGGGTCGAATGAGGATCCTCCTGGTCCGGACCAAGCACGCGACCTCACAGTCTCATAAGCCGCAAAACCATCACTACGGTTGATGATGCAAATCTTAAGGACCCTAAACTATGGGAATTATGGTAGGATAGTTTACACTACGGTTGATGATGCAAATCCTGCATTACCTTAAAGGACCCTAAACTATGGGAATTATGGTCTATTCCTTATCATGGGCAATGCAGGATTTGTGTCATCAACCGCAGTTACATCCCTCGACCCACATATTCTGAAAAATGCCCAGTGGGGCTTTTTGGTTTGTAAGTCCTGCAGGGTCTTGCGCAAGCCTAAACCCTAAACCCCATGTACAGGGTCCAGGGTCTTGCGCAAGGGGCGTCCAAAAATGGTCTTACCCTAACCCCCCAGGTACCTACTAAAAAGGGCCCTATAGAGGCTCTAGTACCCTATACAGTAGGTATTTGGGGGCTTAGGGTCTTAGAGAATTGCCGAGGGATTTCGGTTGCCCGGGCTTGGAGATGGAGGATCGAAGTTCGATGAGGGCTTTATAGGGGTTTAGGGTTTAGGGAATTAACATGTAAGGATTAGGGTATTAAGGGTCTAGGCGAAATCTGCAAAAATAGGGGTTTAGGGTTTAGGGTTGAGGGTTTAGGGTTTTAGGGTTTTAGGGATTAGGGATTTGGGCATTAGGGTATTAGGGCATTAGGGTATTAGGGTATTACGGTAGTAGGGTATTAGGGTTTAGGGTATTAGGGTTTAGGGTATTCGGGTATTCGGGTATTAGGGTTTATGGTATTAGGATTTAGGGGTTCGGTTTTAAGGTTTACGGGTTTAGTGTTTAGGGTTTAGGGTTTAGGGAATTAGCGTTCAGGGATTAGAGTATTAGGGTTTTCGGGTTTAGGGATTAGGGTTTAGGGTATTGGGGTATTAGGGTTTAGGGTTTGGGGTATTAGCATTTAGGGTATTAGGTATTAGGGTTTAGGCTATTTGGGTTTAGGGTTTCGGGTATCAGGGTTTAGGGGTTCGGTTTTAGGGCTTAGGGTTTAGGGTTTAGGGTTTAGCGTCATTTCCTGGGTTCCAGGGTTCCCCCGTAGTACCCTCTTGCACTTTTTGTTTTTAGGGTCCCTGATCAAACCCCGAAGAGTAGGAAAAAGGGTACCCTCATATCATTCGGGGTCTACTGATAGGGCGCTAAGAAGCTCCTTGTTGTGGTTTATATTTAGAATTTAGAGTCCTATAAGGTAATCCCAAAAAGGAACTACTTAGGGGCCTATGGGTACTGGGGAAGCCAGGAGTTCCTGAGTAGCACCCGTTTGCCATTATTTTTCTTTTTTGGAGTTCCCTTGTTCAACCCTAAACCCTAAACCCTACCATACAGCCATACAGTAGGAACAAGGGTACCCCTTACTATGGAGGGGCTGCTCAGGGACTTAGTTTTCTCACGAATAAAAGGTACTGTAAGGGATTTTGTCATGGCTCATGCTGTTGTTTATGGGGGATTTGGTGTGTAGGGTGTAGGGTTACAGCATAAGATAGATCCTCCCCTAGACCCCAAAACCTCTGAACCAAAACGGGATTACCGTGCATCTTCAGAGAGTTCCTTCTCCCTCGAGTAAGGAACGGCCGCAAACTATGTCGTGCAACAGTCGTTTAGGGTTTCACTGTTTAGGGTTCTAGGGTTTAGGGTTGAGGGGGTTTTCTTCTAGTTTGAGTAAGGAAGATAGATCTTCAATGAAGCCCCGAATCGACAGTAAAAGGTACTATATGACCCCCAAACCCTAAACCCCTAAACCCTGAAACCCTGAAGCCTAAACCCCAAAGGGGTACGGGGGCTCTCTGGGCGTTCTCTTTCCGACGATACCCGCCCACAGTTTGCAGATCGCTAGCCGGAGACTTTACCGACAGAACGAAATAAGCAACAAACCGCATGTTGAAGGCTTGTCTACGCCGTCTTATATGTTGGAGGAACCTGCAATCTGTCGGTGCGTGTCATGTTTGCTGTGTCACTGGTATCCGGAATCCGTGAATTTCCCAAGCCCGGCCTGTTACTCGTTTGGCATCCACCCGGCTGCTGGCATCTCCCATCTTCACGCAATTTGGGAACGACCCTAGGCCTCAAACGCCTCAAGCTCAAACTTCAAAAGCACCACGAAGCCTTCAAAACCCTAAACCCTAGAACCCTAAACCCTAAACCCTAGAATCCTAAACCCTAAACCCTAGAATCCTAAACCCTAAACCCTAGAATCCTTGACGATAAGCCGACACGCCCTTAGAAGCCCCAAGAGCTCCGCGCAGGTCATCTTCGCCTTGGTCCCATCCGTCCGCATCGCGACCTGGGCTCCGGGGCTCTGATTTTTGGGGAATCCCTTTGAGGAGTTTTTAGGGTTTAGGGGTTTAGGGTTTAGGGTTTAGGGGTTTAGGGGTTTAGGGTTTAGGGTTTAGGGTTTAGGGTTTGGGGGTTTAGGGTTTTTAGGGTTTAAAGGTTTTTAGGGTTTAGGGTTTAGGGTTTAGTAGCTGAGTTGGTAACATTTAACTTTTTGTGCTTATAGAATCCTACCATAAGTTGAAAGGGTAAGCTTTTTTGGGCTAGGGTACTCGGCCCCCTGGGTTAAGGAGTTTGGGTTTTGGGTTTAGGTTGGGGGGGGGGTGCCGAAAAGATGGTTCTACAAGGTTTCTGGGCTTTGTTTGGGGTTTGGAGCTTAGTGTCTGGTTGCATCAAACTTGCCCATAACGTTGTACAAAGGTGTTTCTTATGTACACCAAAACTACAGTCACTTGAGGTTTGTAACATGCATAAAAAACCCTAAACCCTAAACGCTAACAGCCCTAAACCCTAAACGCTAACAGCCCTCAAGCCCAAACCCTACACGACCAAACCCTAAAGCCTAAACCCC